GTTACTGGAAATAAATCTGGGGGATGACACCCATTTTTGTGCTGAAGATCTCCTATGTGTGTAACATGGAAAAATTTATCACACTGCAAAATTTTAATTTTTTTTATTTATTTATATGTGTGTGTGTGGCCAGCTCAGCCCACCAGGGGGCGGGGCTGGCTGGCATGTGGTGCTGGGGGATTGAACCGTGGTCCCTGTGATTTACTAAGCTTGTTCTAAGTAGGTGCTTTAGACCACTGAGCCATCTCACCAGCCCCCTTTTTTTTCTTTATAGCGGAGTAATACTCCATTGTATAAAAAGACCACATCTTCTTCATCCATTCCTCAGATGGTGGGCATTTTGGTTGTTGCCAAGATTTGGCTATCACCAATTGTAATGCTACGAACATAGGCGCACATATATCACTATGATATGTTTTCAGTTCTTTTGGGAAAATTCCCAGCAGGGGGATAGCTGGATTGAATGGGATTTCCAGTCCTAGTTTTTGAGGAGTATCCACACTGCTTTCCATAATGGTTGCACCAAACTAAGTACTTTTGCTTTATTGAGAAGGATCTTGTTATGCAGTTTAGGCTGGCCAGGAACTATGTAGCCCACCTTAGCTTGAATTCTCAGTGATCTTCCTGCCTCAGCCTCCCAAGTACAGGTATTACAGTTGTGCACTACCATGTCCTGCCTGGGAAAGTACTTTTGAGTGACCAACATTTTTCTTCTGTCATTTATGCTTTTTTTTTTTTTTTTCCTTCTCCTTTGGGCCTAAGGAGCAGAAATCTCTGGCCCTCTGTGGTTCTGAGGCTACCTAATTCACAAACTGGTATTTATTCAATTGAACTGTTAAATTTATTTTGTCTTGACTATTTATTTTACTATTGGAATTGATTTTTAAAACAGTGAACTAAGTTTAACTTCTTGGTATCTCCCTCTGCATCCCAAGAGCATTTCACAGTGAAGAAGAGTCCTCTCCTAACACGCCTTCACCAGAGCCTCCTGCTGCTCGGACCTCTCTTTCGGTATTATTCATATTTATTTTGGAAGAACATTTAATTAAAATGGGAATTCACTGGAAGCTAACAACTGGCACCTATTTCTATCTAAATCATCACGGACACCAAATGTTTCCAAAATCTGCCCAGTTCTGGGTGTCTCTGCCCTCCCCATCTCAACTGGAAACATTGTCACCTCTCACCAAGCTGACCGCAGCCGCTCCTGGACTGTCTTGTCTTCATGTGGGCATCCTTCAAGCCATTTTGAGCATCATGATATGGAAGTTGGTTTCAAATCTCATCACTTGTGTCGTTGTTGTTGTTGCTGTTGGGGAGCACCGTACAGCTTTCTCTGTACTGCTGAACCTTGCTGCTCTTGGGCTTGGTGCACTGATCTGTGTGCTGCCAGAGCTGTGTTATACTTGAATGGACCAAAAATCGTCCAGGTTCTTGTGCACGGCAAGATTTGCCAAGCACATGTCTCGTAGTAAGTAGCTAGATTTGTGGAAGATCACTGGACAGTAGCAGCAGGATCAGGCAGAGGGGGAAAGGGAAAAAGGAGGAGAAGCCAAGGAAGGGGAACCCCGTCACTGAGGCTTCAGTGTGTAAAGGACCAGGTGCCTCTAAGGGCCAGCTGCCTCCCATTCTGTCGCTCACTGGTGCCCATGACCTGCCACCTTGGGCATCATGAACTAAGCTTAAACATGGGTAATCATGAGGTTGGTGGCCTGCTTCTAGTGGAATGAAGTGAAAGGAATGGTTTTCTCAGCTTCTGTGTTTCTGTCTAACTATACACCCCCCAGGATGCACAAAGTCTCCATGCCAGAGGTTTGCCTGCTTTTGCTGGTCCTGGTATACATAGTGGGTATTTAACATGTTTTTCAAATAGTAATACAACATCAATAAACTCTATGTGCTTTGGTGATTTGTAATGCTGATTGTGTTTTGCTGCTAGCGCCTCAAAGGCAAGGACTTTTGTCTGCTTTGTCTACTGATGTACACCAAAGGGTCCGAAAGGACGGGAACCGCATCCCCCCATGAACCGCTGTGGGAAGAATGAATGAATGAATCAATGAATAGGTGGATGGACAATGAAGGTGAGGGCGATGCAAATCCAATTTCTTTGCAGACCAGAATCATGCTCCGGCTCGTGTTTCAAGACCTTAAAAAGCGCTGCCCTGTGAATTTCTAGATAGAAAATGCTTCCAGGAAATTGGAATTTGTAACGGAGCGGTCTAAACAATGCCCGACAGAGCTTTAGTAATTTCATAAAGAACTGGGGAGAAAGCAGTGTCTGGCCACGGGCCAGTGTTTTGAGGTCAACCACTTTATCTGTGGAATTCCCCACCCCCTACTCATCCCGTGGCCATCCTGTTAAATTGGAAAATAAATCCCATCCCCGGTAAGGTGTTGGCTGATAAAGGCTTGAGCTATTGCCCCTTCAAGGGGAATTTGCATTTTAATAGAGACTCGTCAAGGCCCAAAGGAATCAATATCTCTAACTGTAAAATCTGAAGCACTAGCAATTGAAATATTCTAGGGTGAGACTCTTCAGCGTTCCTGATCCGACAGAGACTCGGGGAGTCCATTCAGAAGGTCACAGAAGAATGCTCTCGGGAAATGACCCGCTGTTCCTGTCCCTTTATTGTGTTCCACTTTGGCCTCTGACACGTGTCCGATCCCTCCAGCTTTCCCCACCCCGGCAGGCAGCAAGATGTCCAGCGGTCTTCAAGTTGTCCCGGCAAGGGCAACGAGGCAATTAAGACGACTGAGACGTCCAAGGGGTTCTTTTTTGGTGTTCCACAACAAGCAATATTTATTTAAAACTATGTTTCCAAGAGGGACTAGAGATGAATTGATAGGTTATTAAAGATGCTGTCCATTTAAATACGTTTTTGCGCAATTCCTTAAAACGTCCAAACTTCTGATTCGCATTAGGAGCCCTGCAAACGAAAGGTGGACACGAGACATCTTTTTGACCTGGGAATGTTTAAAATGCCGGGTCCTCGGAAACCGAGTTCTCGGTGGCCGGCCACAGCCTGGGAGATTCTGCAGCCGCAGTAAAGCGGCCTCTGGGACCTCGCTTAGGCTTCTGCATTTGCGGAGAGGCCGGGCCGCAGCCCGCGGTCGGAACCCCCAGCCCCCAGCTCCCGCCCGGTGGCCTCCGCCTGTTCCACGCGGCTACCGCGCGC